GGGGGGGGGGGGGGCTCTCGCAGATGTTCATAAAAAGGGCTGTCGTCCTATCCAATCGTAGATCCTATCGTAGATCAGCGCCGCGCTACCACCCCGAAAGCCTTCTTGTCGGTCTTGCAGTCGTGGAAGCCGGCGCCGATCAGTCGATCGATCACCCCTCGAAACAACCGTCCGCCCTCGCTGCGCGTAGCACGACGCACAGAAAGTAGAGACAGAGAAAGGGCAAAGGGCGGGCGGGCGGGCGGGATAGTTAGCTCATCACGAACGTCTTGGCCTCGGCTGCCGTCGTAGATCCTTAACCTCTAAACAAACAAGTGCTTGTCGCCGATCCGTGCTCGTGGGGAGCGGGGCTACAAACAACGTGCGGTGCTGCCTTCTCGCGCGGGAGCACCGCGGCGGAGTGTTCTCCCCATGTGGCAAGCAAGGGGATGGCATATAACATATGAGGCTCCGACTTGAGTGTTAAACGTATGCCACTTTAGGTATTTTCTTTTGACTTCTTCCACTGAGAACGGATGGGAAAAACCCTGGTCAAGTCAGCGGCAGGGGGAGGGGGTGTATTCATAGTCGTGCATGCCGTAGTCGTTAGACCATTAACCTCGCATCCCTACAAAGCCGGGACGGAGGACGCAAGGTTCTCACCGGACCAGGCTCTCACATCACCAAGCGCGAAGCGCCGTGAGGTATTCGGCGAGTCGCATGAAGGGTGCGCTGCATCCTGCTAAGAGTGTTCGGAATCTTGTGCTTACTTTCATGCGTTCGAATGACAGCTGCGTATGACTTAATTTATTTTCCGGTGCGTTCACTTCCAGGGACAGTTGCAAGCACTGTGTAACTGACTCGAGGGTGCTTGACCATTTTAACACAACGTGGTGCGATCATCCCCTTTGCTCGGAGTGAGGGTTCTCGACCCCGCACAACATGATCCACTCGACCACCACTATGGATACCGCCTGATAAAAAACAGGGGCAAAAAAAAAGTAACGTGGTGGCCGAGCATACGAAGTGATCGGCTTATTTGACAACGTTGTAGCCAACCGACGAAAACCCAACCCCGATGGCAAACACCGAGGAAGGGGGACGACAGGGGGAGGGGGAGACAAAAAAACGTCACCATCCCGCAGAACTACTCACTTGCTCTCTGGGTTCCCGATGTAGTGGAACAAGGTGCCACCCGGCTTGAGCACCCTTGCGAGGTCCTTGTAGAAAGCGGCCCCGTACATGTCGGTGGTCTTGCAGAGGGCGCGGGCCGGCGGGTCGTGGATGATGGCCGCGAACTCGCCGTCATCGAATTTTTTGACGAGCTTTTTTGTTTTTCGCGTCGGCAAGAAAGGCGCAAGTGTTGTTGTCGCCAGCAGTGCCACGGCCCCCGAAAGGGAGGGGCGCCAGGGTAGGGG